ATCCTGGACAATAAATTTTATTCCTATTTTTCTTTAGAGCTCCTCATAAAGTGACTTCTATTTTTTGATGGGTCACAGTAAATGCAGGGAGCATGAGAAGAGGCACTAGGGCTGAGCTTTGAAGTCAGCTAGGGATTCTAAGAGGCCAAGGTGACCAAGGGAGGGCATTCCAGGCATAGCAGACAGTGCAAAGGTGCAGAGATGAGAAACGGAATATGGTGCAGCCAAACCGACTAGTGCGGCTGGAAGGCCGGACCATAGAGGGCAGGAAAGTGGGTAGTGTATTATTATACATTAATATATAATAATAATAATAAATTAATATATGAAAAGGGCTTTCAATGCCTAACAGAGGAGTTTGTATCTTCTCACCGAGGTTCCAGGAAACCTCAAGCCTCCGCCTTCTGAAGCTGGTCAGTAAGTGGTCAGAATTCATGATTAAGCAATCAGCTGCATCAGGCTCTTCTTTCCTTCCCTAAAGAGCCCTTTATTTAAAATATGACAGGAGAATTAGCCTGGTCTTGAAACCAGAAAAAGGATACCATGTTGGTCCACAGATGGTCTACTTATTTGGCGGTAGAAGCACAATGGAATGAAAAGAAAACTAGATTTTGAGGCAGAGATTTGAAGACTGGCTTTGTTGCTTGCTACTTTGAACAAGTCACTTCCTTTCTCTGGGCCTGAGTTTTCTCATCTGCAAAATGAAGATTAGATGTCCTCGAAAGACATTTTCCAGCTCTGAGTCTGTGAACCAATGAGCTTGGCTCGAAAGAAAGCTACCTGTCCTGGCTCTCACCCCGTAGGGCAGGCTCCACCAAGGCTGCTCTGCCCAACTACTCAGTCAAGTAACACTGGGGGTTTCTTTTGTCATAGGCCAGTTCCCACCTTCAGGTGAATGCTGCAGGTAGGAGGGAGGTATCGCTATTAAAAGAAAGTTGCATTGTGACGACTGCCTGTGCTGGGTCAGAAGGTGAGAGCTTTGCTTCGGTGACTCCACGCAGAACCACGGACAAGAGAGGAAACCAAAATGGAAATTTTAAAGAGAGTCGAGAACTAGATGCGGATGCTGCCAAAAGCCCACAGCTGCAGGAGTTGTCCGAGCTGGCTTTCCTTTGACGGCCTAAAGACAATAAGGGGGAGAACACTCCATGGGCGATGGCTGTTTGATGTGGCTACGAGTCCCTGCTGAGGCCAGATCACTGACATGTGACTGTGTGCGCCATGTTCTCCTGGAATTCCGCAATGGTCCATGGGTGCTGCTAAAAGCTAGGCTTTGGGTGGGCAAACTACCTTAGGAAGTAAGGCTCAGATTCCAAACGACAAGGGCTGAAGATCATCATTCTGGAGCCGGAAGAGCCCTCAGAGGAGGCCCGCCCAAGGAGGTTAAGGGGACTTGCCCAAAGTCATGAAGATAAGTCAGAGACAAGATTTGAACCGAGGTCCTGAAAGTCTTCTGACTCAGTGAGTCACAGAATTAGAGTAGGAACTTTAGAGGCCATCTGATCTGTGATTGTATTGATTTAGAAGTTTTCTTCAAGGGTACAGATCCATGGCTGCTCATCTTGGGTGACTCCTGTCTGTGTCTTCCCATAACTTTATCATAGGGAAGTTTAGATGAGGATACCGAGGGCCAGGGAGGTTGTGGCTTACCTCAGGTCACAAAGGTAGTCCTAAGTATAAGAGCTGGGCTTCTTGTTTGTGCCCACCCCAAGACCTTGGTGGGATGACAGAAGAAGGCCATCTTGGCCTGTGGCTGATCTGGATGCCCATGGAGAAATTAAGAATCGACATAAACATTTCTTTAACAGTGATCATTTGTTGAGAGAACACTGTCAGAATGTTGACATAGACGATTCTCTACTTCCTAAGTTGCTAAAAGAGGAGGTTTGCTGGAGGGCACTCACTGACCACTGCATCCCCATGAGTGCTGCTATCACAACAGGAAGACTCTATCAGTTCCTTTGGCTGTGCTGTCTCCTAAACGGGGGTGGGGGACAGAAGGGAGGGCGATCACGGTCTACCTATAGCTTTAGGAGTGTGTTCTAGCAGCCATATGGCTACAAAAAACTTTTTTTTATTTGCTAAGTTTTTATTAAATGAATGTTGCTAATTTGCCAGAAATAATCAGGATTCCAAAATATCTTGAAAGGCTAGATCAGATGATAATATAACCCATGAGTCAGAGATTTCCTCCTGTCTCAAAGGATCTGGGTATACTTTGAAGATTTCTGACTTCTCTGATTTATTATCCTAACCCAGATTATTTGGAAACTTTCTAACACTGGCAACAGGTTGCCATCAACTGCTCTTATAAGCACCTAGGTCACAAGGCTCAAAGAAGCAGTAAATTTCTTTATAGGTCAACAAAAATCAACAAAACCCACAAAGATAACAAAGTCTGCCAGTGAACAAAACTTCCCCCAAAGTCTGGCATAACCTCAGCCACTCAAAGCTTGAAATGCAATTCTTCTCTGGGACTTTTTCTCTCCATGTCCTCTTACCTAAGCCCTTGAAGTCTCTCTTTCAGATTGTCATATGCCCCACATCATTCTGCCTGCATTTCTCATCAGATCCCAGCAGGCAACAGCTTTTATATAGAAATAATACCGTAATGGGATAATATAGAAGCAGCTACAACTGGAGTCAGAAAGGCTGGAGTTCAAATTCTTTTTCAGACACTTCCTAGTTGTGTGACTGGTCAAGTCACAACTGCTGTGCTGCAAGTTTCCTCATCTGTGAGATAGGGATAATAACACCTGACTCTCTGGGTTGTTGTGAAGCTCAAATGAGACACTATTAAAGTACTACATAAATGTTAACTATTATTATTACTATAATTAATAGAAGTAGTGCTGGTCAGCAAGACGGAGGCCACTATTTTATTCTGCTGCCCAGCCTGGAGACTGGTGTCATCTTCCCCAACTAGAACACCCCTTTCTCCCACTGTTCTTGACCACCAATATCCCAGTCTATAATTTAGGCTTTTTAGAGAAAGAGGAACGAAAGGAAAAATGCGTCCAGAAATCATTTGTCTGGGTTACAGACTTTCCCAGCCAACCCCTGTACCCAGTTGAGATCCAGTAACTACAGGAATCTCACTCCTGAGTTTTCTTCATGCGATTACATTCTACTGACTTCTCTCTTCATATGGGGCATGTGTGGGGAATGGTGGGAGACAGGGAGTCCGGTCTTCAGGAGCTCCCACTTTCATCTCAGATCTTGAATCCATCATTCTTCCTGACCAACTAATAAACACTTCCTGACTCTAGGGATCTATTTCCTCGGATCTTTTTCTGTGGGGGTAAGTCACAAACACCTCCCCCCCCCATAATTTCTCTTGGTAACTGAGTGAACGACAAGTACTGTTCCCTCACTCCAAGATCTCCTTACAATAAGGAAACATTTAATATGGACAAATGTAAATTTCTACATTGGCTTTAAGAAAACCATAGACATAGGAAGAAGAGATATGGCTTGACAGTTTGTATGAAAAAGACCTGGGGGTCTTAGTGGACCATAAATTCACTGATTTAACAGTGTGATGTGGTAGCCATGAAAATTAATCTATACTGAGGGAAGTATGGTGTCCAGAAGGAGTGAAATGATAGTTCCCTTCTGCTCTGCTCTGCTCGGATTATGCTGAGTACTTTATTTGGCTTGAGGAATCACAGATGCCAAGAGGTTGGATGAAGGAGGATGAGTTGGATGAGAGGAAGACCATTGGATTCACAGTCAGAGGACCTGAGTTTAAATGCTACACCTGCTACTTGCGGCCTGTGTTGTATGGTCTTCCTGTGCCTCAGTTTCCTCATCTATAAAAGTTGGGGCCTAGCCTGGAAGACTTCTGAGGTCCCTTACAACTCTATCTTCTAGAGCTGGAGCACGTTTAGAAAAGGGCTGACCAGAACATCGAGGAGTCTTAGAACCATGCCCTCTGGGGATGAGGAAAGCAAACTAGGGGAGCTGATCTTGAAAAGGAGAAGACTTTAAGGGTAGCATCATGGCTATTTTTAAATATCCAAAAGCACATTCCTTCCTGGAGGGAAAAACTTTGTGGATGTTACAGAGAATTCAATTTTCTCAACATTAGGAAAAACATTAATAATTAGCAATGCCCAGAAGTGGGAAGGGTTGCCTTGGGAAGCCAAGGATCCTCGTTACAACAGGTCTTCAAACACAAGGTCAGATGGCCACTTGTCAGGGAGACGGTAGACTGGATCCAGGTTGGGGTTGTACCAGAGAACACCCCTTCCAATGCTGAGACTTGATTAATGAATCATTTATTGAATCAATGTGTTATGTAACATAAGAGGTGGATTCAAAGACCTAGGGACTGTTTTGTAAACTTATAGCAGTGAGTCGTGTTTTAGAAATTATATAATTTCTGCCATTTGGATGCAGAGTATAAAGAAGTGCTGAATCAATGTGGTCTTGAGTCTGTCCACATGAACATTATCAGGAGATAATGCCGTGTAAGTAATGCTGGCCAGGGAGATGGGAGGCTGACTTTGCCTTCTGTGAGCCTCAGTTCATCTGCATTACAGATTCCTTCTTCCTATTTGTCCCCAGCCCCTTAATTGGAGAGGCTACTGGCAGGAGTCAGAGATGATCCCTTGGGTTGTGCGCAGATAGTGGGAACCCGGGTTTGAAACTGGCTCCTAGAACGCTAACGCGGGCATGGTGATTAGGGCTTTGTACCAGAGTAGGATATTTAAACGGCATTAATGTTCACTTCTTCCTTCTCCATCCTCCCCACTCCAATGGGAGTATCTATCCCAGGACAACACAGCACTGGCAAGCCTACCATCCACTCATCTTTGCCTAGCTCAGAAATTGGTAGTTATAGCTTTGCTGGTAGCTCACTGCACTGGTAACTCAGCCTACTCCATTCTCTTGTGCTGTAATGTGATACCTCCCGGGCACAAGTCCTTTTTTAAAAAAAAAAAAAGGAGTCAGATTTGTTGGTGACAATTGGAAATTAAAAGCATGGACACAAGGTCTTGTGTTTGTTAGCTGTTTCTTTAATAAAGCAGGCTAGACATTCCTCCAGCTAGGAAACTCCTACACACTCACCCCAACCAAGACACGGCCGTAGCAGCTTCCTGCAGAATGCTTCTCTGGCGTTTATGTTTCATGCAAGATGGGACCCAGTTACACAGTACAGACAGTAAACACAGGGAGGTCCTGGTCTGTTTTAAATCTCACATTCACTCATTCACACTGAAATACTGCACAATGCATATTATTTCCTATGAGAGTATGGCAGCCATTGGACTTTATTAGGAGGAGGTCATCTTTGGAAGAAGAATTCAGTACATTTTAAAGTGGCAAATTCTTCCTTGGCATCTTTGAACCAAGTCAAGACAAGGACTCTGGTTTCTTCTGTCCAATCTGTAGCTCTGAGAATTACTGCAGGGAAGTGAGTCTGCACTAAATTTCCAGTCTGATCATGTGATGGAATATATTTGAGATGCATGAAGACACAATAAAAAAGAAAAATATAAAGTTGACTAACAGGATTGACGTAAATCTTACTGATACAAAATGTGCTTTAAACTTTAAAAAATCAAGAATGGTAGGTAGCATTAAACCAAAAGAATTTCACTGATTTCTACACAGTTGTTGATACAGAACCACCCCCCCCCAAAAAAACCCCAAAAACCAAAAACCTAAACCAAAACCCAACAAAAAAGCTTCATATTTTCAGGATTAAAAAAAAAGAATGTTTGATTAAACATAAGCATCTGATAAGAAAACAAATAAGACTGACGCCATTATCTTCTTTCATGGCATGGAGACTAATTAAGACATAGACAGTGTTGAAACAGAAAGGAAAGGGATAAGAAAAGCTAATCGCTCCCCAAATGGGGAAGTGACATTAACTGCAAAGAGCCTCCTAGCCCGTGGGTATCCGGGATGGCACTGCTCATGCCTTGCTTACCCCAGAATATCTCCTTCCTTAGAGGCAAGACAGGGAATACTTTGGGCTGGAGCATAAGCAATTCCGTTAGCTGGAAGCGATAAGGTTTTAAAGGTCCAAAGAAATGGATACATTACACAAGCAAAGAATGCCCCACGACCCCAAAACCCTGGAGATGAAAGGGAAGCTGCCTCCTAGTAGCCAGGCTAAACCCTGGAGTGATTCGCAGCAACAATTCAAAACCAAACAGCCTGGTGCTGACCTGCTCCAACATGGCCCACCTAAATGTCACGCAGCTGAGCTGCTTCTGCTCAGGAAAGACAATGACAGAATCATCTGTCAGCCAAAGGCCAAATGGTCTCTTGTTTGGCTGTGCCAAGCTGAGCAAGTAACACCTGGGTATGACCCATGACTACAGCTCACAAGCACAAACAATCTCAGGACAGCGTCTTAAACGGACGAGCACGTGAGGACACCTTTGTAATCAGGTACAACTACCTGGTCGTTTTCCTGTTGCACCCAGGGACCAGCCTGGACGATTCAATGCTACCTGACTCTGGACCACCAAGGCGAACCACTCCAAGGGCTCAGACAATTTCAAGGCCATAAGCACAGTCGGTGTATAAACAGAGGGAGACGGATGCTCTGAGGTTATACTGCTACAGGATAGGGGTCAGGCAAACACTTAAGAGGTTTCTAAAGGTGGCAGTTTGGCAAAATCCCTTCCATGTATTCCCCTTGCAGAAGTGCTGAGAGAACCATTTATAATTACGAGGTGGTAACCACAACACTTAATCAACACATCTGTCCAGCAAGGCTGGAACGCAGAATAATGCTGTTATAAGAGAACTCTTAAACACCTTAGCACTAAACGTTACAGATGATTTTTCCTACTAGAGGTTGAAAACAAATTATGGAACAAACGAGATCTTCTCCATTATGGTCTGACATCACTGAATTGCCATTATCTACTATATCAAGGAGGACATCAGGTCATTGTCCCATTTATCGGCAAGGTTAGTAGCAATGGGCTATAAAGTGCTTCTATCTCTGCATTTGTACCTCAGTTCTTCCTCCTATCTTCACGAGCCCATGAACCCAACAGATGAACAAATGAATATTGCTTCCGTAAAACCTTCCCAAGCCCACTCCCATCTGGTGGTCAAAGCATTGTAGACCACTGGCTTAGTGGGATAATCCTCTGACAAATGCTACTCTTGGTGAAGGAGCTGATGGGGTCCAGTTTAATCTAACCAAAGTGCCGACTTCATTAAAGTCGGGGTAGCCATTTATAGAAGAAAACTAGACAAGGCAAAGGAGACATTTTTCTTTTTCAGATCTCTTTTTCCCTTTAAAGAATTAGACTGCTAGTATGTGACTCCATTTTCTACCATCGTCTATTCTCCAAGCTATGGTAATTGATAAGTGGACAGTCTTAGATTTTTGTGTCCAAGACTTTGATGAAAAGAATGAGTATTTAATCTTTGATTGCTCAGAAATCATTATGTCTAGGATTTAACTACCGAAAAAGCAAATTATCCCAACTCAGAAAGACAGATGCCCAGCAAAGAAATCTTGACCATCTGTGAGGCCTGCCCTGCAGCACTCCGTCTTCCTGCCCCTGCACTGCTCTTCTGGGGCAGACATGGTCACTGGGGGCAGGGGACAGAGTGACGGAGGAGAGAAAGGTGGGGCCAAGTAAGATTTTGGATGGTATGTTGGCCTAGCTCTTCTCTTCACCCTTTTCTCTATGACAAGGCATGCAAACTAATGAATCCAGAAAAGCACAATTTTAAACTCATGTTTTGTGCTTCTGTGTTGTTTCGAAAGAGGTTTGCTTTCCATCATTAATGAAACATCACAGCAAACACGTAACCTCCAACTTAAAGGGGTTTTCTTGTTACTTTTAAAACAGCTTCAGATGACCCTACTTTTTTGTGATATACTTTCAAGGTGTAATACAATTGCTATCAAAACTGGGGTGTAGGGAATGATAATGGCCAAAGGGGTCTTGCATTGATTAGCCATGTGGCTTGGAGATGTCTTATCCAAACCAACTAAGAAATCTGGCTCCATAACACACCAAAACATGATTTTGATAATTTAGTTCTAAACCGAGTAACCACAAGCATTTTCAATTAAGTCTGAAGGCAGACTCGGCCTAAACCCGTTCTAGTTCTTCCTATTAAACGATGCTTCGTCCTGCTCATTTTATTTTGATCACTGATGTGGGCCTCTTACAAAGAAGTACTCTAACTTAACCGGGACACAGATTTCGGGAGAGGAGGCTTCCCGTATGTCATTCAACCCTCCCATGCCTGGACGGCCTCTGTGGGGGAGGGTCTGAATCCTTTTCTTCCTTCCAAATATGATGTAACGATCATCTGCCCCCTCCTTAACGTGGCAGGGTGAGGCACCGGGAAGTGACTTTAACTGTGGTTGTCTTTTTTCCTAGGTGTGTGATGCTGGCTTGGCTCAGCACGAACTCGGAGCATGTGCTAGACCTGATTCCGGTGGGAAGGGCTAAGACAAGCCTATCTAGATACTAGTGTATATAATCAGGCCTATTTTAGGGCCGTGTTCACTTAATTTTATTCTCTTGGCAGTGTCCCAATGTACCGTCATCACCCCATTCATGCTCTGAATGACTACTTAGGCTTTGGAGACTGTTGATGTGAGGTGAGCTCTGTGAGACTTTTGCCCCCTGGAATCCCAGGATGAAAAGGCCAAGGCTGTGCACATCTCGGTAAGAGCGGCTCCGGACGCTGACCACTTAGATGTCCAAAGGGCTCACGATGGTAAAATCCGAATCCTTGCTGTTGTTGCTGCTATCGTCGTCATCGGGGCTAGAGCTCAGGTTACTGGAGGACGGTGAAGCCGTGCCCATCAGGGGGTCAGAGAACACCAGGGAGGACCGAGAAAGCCCCTCCGTCTTGCCCGATGTGCCCTTGTGTGGTCGGAGAGACTGAGACCGGACAGGAGCTCTGCTGCCACTGCCTTCCTCCTCGTCTTTGGAAACCAGGATGTAATCCTCTGAACTCTTGCTTTCGGAACTCCCAGGCAAACTAGAGGGGGTCTGCGAAACCAAATCACAAGGATCGGGGTTACACACAGAAGATACATGAAAGAAGACCACGCGAGCCTTGATTCTAGGCTCCCTGAATGTCACACTTTATAAGGTTCCTGCTGGATTTTACTGTTGATCTCCCCCTCTCTCTGCATACATGACCCTCCCTCCTCAGAGAGGCGCAGAACTAACTCCCCATTACAGACGGGCTTGTGGCATGATCCTCTTACCTGGACCCTGTGGACAATATTTTAGGAGGCTCTATTACAATGTGACACACAACTCCGTGAGTGCATGGATGTGCATGTTTCTGTCTGTGAATGTGCATGGGTATAACAGTGCATACAGATCTTCCATCGCTTAGCAGGTCACAGAATATGGCGTCACTATGAACTTTTCACCTCCTTGTTCATAAAACTTAAAGCTGGAAGGGACTTTAGGCCAGCCACTTTAATCTCTCTTTTTCCTACAGATGAAGAATGTGAGGCCCACGGAGGTCAGGAGACCTCCCAAGGTCACCGAGGCCGCAGGTAACAGAATGAGGATTCTAACGTCACGCTCTCTTCTGTGCTCCCCACTGCCCTTTCCCACTGAGCAGCATTAGGATTGCACACTCCAATGCTTCCTCTGGCAGACGTATCAGAATGACAAACTACGTAAAGGAGTGAAAACAAGAATCCTTCCTACGTTCTCATAACTTCCACCCGAGGGCGGGGTGCCTCCTGGAGCCGCACTTCCACAGGCAGATCATCATACAGTCATATACCAGGGATGTCTGGGATCATGGGCCAGAGCAGGTGCTACCCATGACACTACCCATGGAACATGGCCATTTGACCAATGGAGAAACTGGTGTAAAGGATGACGCAGTGGACTGACCCAGCCTCTACTGAAAGCTAATTTAAAATCTGGATTTTATTGAGGAGACTTTAACCCCTAACTTGTGAATTAGACCTTTCCCCATTAGACGGCAGCACCTGTGCTCTTCTTACACTTGATCAGTCAGAGGCTCCAGCAATTTTCTTGTTTAGTCTTAACAAAGACTGTGGCTACCTCACACCCATCTGACTGGCTAAGAATAGAAAAAAGGAAAAATGACAAGTGCTGGAGGGGCTGTGGGATACTTTAATGTACTGCTGGTGGAGCTGTGAATGATTTCAACCATTCTGGAAAGCAATTTGGAACTGTGCCCCGAAGGCTATTAAATTGTGCATAGCCTTTGACCCTGTGACATTGCTACAGGCCTATAGCCCCAAAGAGATCAAAGAAAGAGAAAAAGGACTCATACGTACAAAGATATTTCAAGCAGTTCTTTTTACGATGGCAAATAATTGGAAACTGAGAGGATGCCCATCATTTTGGGAATGGCTGAGCAAGTTATAGTATATGAACGTGACAGAACACTAGCGTGCTGTAAGAAATGATGAGGGGGATGGTTTCAGAAAAAACCTGGGAGGACATATATGAACTGATGCAAAGTGAAGTGAGCAGAACTAGAAGAACAATTTATATGATGGCAACATGGTAAAGATAATTAACTACAGAAGGCTTAGTAACACTGATCAACCACAATTCTGTTTGTTTGTTTGTTTGTTTTTGTTTTTTTAGGCAATTGGGGTTAAGTGACTTGCCCAGGGTCACACAGCTAGTAAGTGTCAATTGTTTGGTCTGAGGCTGCATTTGAACTCAGGTCCTCCTGACTTTAGGGCTGGTGCTCTATCCACCACGCCACCTAGCTGCCTGGATCAACAACAATTCTAAAGGACTCGTGATGGAACATGCTGCCCAACTCTGGAAAGAGAAGCAATGAATTCAAGTACAGAATGAAGCTTCTTTTCTTTCCCTTCCTTCTTTCTTGACATGGCTAATGTGGGAATTTGTTTTGCATGACTATACATATTTGTAACGGGTTTTGTTTTTCTTGCCTTCTCAACAGGTGGTGGAGGGGAAAGAGGCCGGGCTAGAATTCAGAATGGCAAATAACACTGAAATAACTAAATAAACAACTAAAGACTGGGGTACATGATATTCTTCATATAGATGAGTAAGACCACACAGCACTGCAGAGTAGTGCCTCAGGTGATTTTTTTTTTCCAGTTAAAACTGTCAGAAAATATTATCAGGATGAGCTAAGAGGCTATGGATACTTATTGCTTCATTCTGTCCTCCTACCTGGGAAATCGAAGAACTTAAAGCTCAATTTCACACACACACACACACAGACACACAGACACGTATACACACACACACACACACACACATATATGCATAAATATACCCATTAACTTTAATAATTACCCTCTCTGGGCTTCTAGACTATGGAGTTCAAGTGTCAGTGACAACAACAACCACTACAGTAACGACAATGATGATGACGATGACGATGATAATACTGGCCAGCAGATGGTGCTTCTAAGGTTTGCAAAGGGCATTACGTATGTTATCTCCTTTGATTCTCAAAATAACTCTAACAAGTAGGCACAGTGATCATCCCTGTTTTACAGATGAGGAAACTGAAGCCCATAAAAACGAAGTGACTTGCCTGGGGTCAGAGAGCTAGTAAGTGTCTGAGGCAGGATCTGAACTCAGTTCCTCCAGTCCAGAACTCTCTCCATTATGCTATGCTGTGTCTTTTTCAAGGGTAAGCTTCCCACAACAGAAGGAACAGCAGAAGTCAGGTCTTTAATGTATTCCCTATTATCCCAAAAGACTCAGTTGTAGATTATGGATCTCTCTGGACTCTCTTGAAAAGGTTGATTATCACCAGTTTCAGGACCTAAATAGGTTTCTATTTCCTAACTTTGACTATTTCAGTTTCCCAGAATTAGCACTAAAGGAAACTGTGTTTTTCCAATCTGTTGCTCCAACTGAATAATTTAAAAGTTATAAACATATATATATGTATGTATGTATAGAATGTAAAAGCAGATTCTAGTGTAAACAGCTCTACACTTGACACCAGATGGCTTTTTAGGACTTTTTTTTTCTCTGATGACAATTAGCTACTTACCGGTAGCTGCTATTTGGTTATTCAAGTGCTGAGCCAACAAGACTCAATCAGCTCCTTTTAGCATCTAGATAACAGTATTAGCAGCACCTTTATAGAGCCAGTTTCTAAGTCAGTTAATTAGCAGCTGCTTGCAAAAGATCAAGTCCTTGGCAAGTGTGCTTACAAAGGGTTAAACCGGGGACTAACTGCCACTCTCATTTAACCCGAGGCTCAGTTTCCTCACTTGTAACTGGAGGGGTCTGGATCAGACAGCCGTAGTGGCCCTTTCATCTTCAAATCTAGAATTCTATGAAGGTACAGACTTTACCCAAAGTCAGGCAGCTGTACCTGTTGCCCCCACGCAGCTCTCTTACCCCGCCCCCCCATCCTTATTATGAATAGCAGAAACTCAATAGACAGATGTTGATTGATTAGGTTATCATTATAATTAGACTTGATGGAATCACTGACCAACTGACCAACTGAACCGAGACTTCAAAAATCAAATAAATTTAAATGCACGTTAGCAACTTTTAGTTAAAATTAAATTTTGAACTCACATTGACAGAATCCACTAAAAGTAATAAGCTCCGTGTGTCCTGAGAGGAAGTGTGACGTGGAGGAAAGAAAAGTGGACGGATAGCAGGTCAGAGATGAATCTAAACTCTGCTGCTGGCTACTCATGTGTCCTGGAGAAGATGACTTCCTTCTGTACCTCAGCTTCATCATCTGTAAAACTGGGCATGAGGTATCTGTCTCAAGAGTCTGCCTTAGAAACAGGAACCTGGGTTTGAGTCCGGCTTCCAACACTGATCAGTCATGTGACCGCGGGCCAGTCTCTGAATCCCTCAGTGCCCAAGGCACCCAAAGATTAAAAGTTACAGATGAGCCGCTCATCTGCAATGGAGGCCCAAGCTTCCAGACGGGGATTTCCCTACAGTAATGAAGTCACACATTTGAACTAAAAAACCCCAGTGATCTCCCTCTCAAATCTCTCTGTTATGGGGTTCAGATGAGATCACATGGAAACCTTAAGGGGAGATCAGAATGCCAACTACTATTATTAGTCAGAATTTAGAAGGATGTAAACTTATAGTTCAGGCCTTTGTGAAAAGGTAGAATGAGAATTATCCACATTCATTAACATTCTTAACATTAAAAGAACTAGGAATATTATTAATAACTGAATAAAACTCCATAAGAATCAAGAGACATAGAGTTATCCTTTATGCCTGTGTTATTCCACAAGAGAGAAAAAATAATGGAGAGAGATTTTGCTAGAATACTATCTAACAGATGCTACTGAAAAGGTCTAATTAAATTAGTGCTTAAACTTCTTAGAAACCTCATATGTAATTATTTTTCAAAAAAGAATTGACCTTCATATGTCACTTCACTAAAACTAGAAACCACAATGATGTTTCTGAGTTTTTGTTTTTGGTTTTTTTAATGATTTGATATTTTAAAGGGACAGGGATAGGACATGTGATTTCTTTGGTACAGGTAACTCCTGGGTTCAGAAGATCCCTCTTCCAATGCATGTCAGCAGGTTCTCTGCAACTTAGAATCTTAAGAGAGTTGCCCAGATCACTGGTGGGATGAAATGCCTTGCCCTGAGTTACACACAGCTAGGAGGTGCCATGGCTGAGAACTGAACTCAGTCCTTCCTGGCTTTCTATCTATGTTGGCTGTCTGTCCATGGTGCCACGCTGACTCTCTATTAAAGGGTCTCAGGGAAGAACTGTGAAACATGTCTTTTTAAAATTGCCTCTTGGAAGGAGAAGTGTCTGTTACCTTTCCTTTGGGCCTCGGTTTCCTCCTCTGTAAAACAAGGAAGTTCGGTTAGATGGCCTCTAAGGTCCCTTCCAGCTTTAATCTACAATCTTTCAAATATAAAGCCTCTGCCGCCTAAAAGGATTTTAAGGAGCAGTCTGACGGAGGTCACTTATATTCTCAATGGGCATTGGCTATTTCAGTTTTTTAAACTCAAAGAAACTGACATCCACGAACATGGATTGAT